TATATATATATATATATATATATATATATATATATATATATATATATATATATATATATATATATATATATATATATATATATATATATATATATATATATATATATATATATATATATATATATATATATATATATATATACTAGCCACTTCTGTTAGCACCAGCAGTCTCAGCTAGCCTGTTCAACGGGCCATGCGCTGAACAGGCTTTGTGTAGCTATAACAGAGTTAGACTGCTTTTAGTATCCAGTGGCCCAGCGAGCCATGCCTCGGTCACAGTCAGGGGAATGGGTTCAATTAAGGTTGAGGTGTTGATTATGTAGAAGTTCATGTTTATTGGCTAATGAAATATATATATATATATATATATATATATATATATATATATATATATATATATATATATATATATATATATATATATATATATATATATATATATATATATATATAATAAAAATACAGATCTAACAGTGTAAACTGTATATACAGTACCTAAGAATTTGCAGACTTTGTTGTCCAAATACTGTAACTGTGTATTCAGGCTACAAAACATCCATTTATAATAATTGTAAGTTATTTATACAGATCCTTAAGAGATAAATTTACTCAGATTTTATTCTTTTTATGATATGGAAGCTATGAAAAAGAAGAGTTAGTGATATCATCAGACAGCACAGAGGACGATTTAGTACAGTGCAATACTTCACAACAGCCACAATGAAGTTAGAGTTGCTTATCTCTGTAACAAACTAATATTTTTTTTATCTAATGTAATCTTAAACTTCAGCTGTTTAGATACTGAATAAGACATCTGGTATTTATAAATATTACCTCTACTATACATAATACAAAAAGAAAACAATACTGGATATCAACTTAAAACTAATGGTATGCAGAGGAGAGAATTATAAAAGGACAATAAAATTACAATTTTAATCCAAAGTAAACATTAAGCTACGCTTTCACTAACTGACAAGGGTCACTGTCACAGTGGCGAAAAAGCCCAATATTTATACTCTTAAATTGATGTGAAAAACAAAATCAGATCTTATTTTAGGGACTTTAATTACACCTGTTGATCCCTTCAAGAAAATTCAAGTTTTCAATAAAATTTTTCATTAGAGTTCCATAAAATCAGTATACTGTATGATCCACTTGAAATAGGAAGAAATTTTCCATATAAATGAGCTTCATTTTACACTCCCAACACTTCCAAACAGACACAGGTTGTTCATTTCATCTAAATATTTCAGAGAATCTTAAAATTAATAAAAAAAAATGATGAAAATAAAGTCAAATACAGTACAATAGATAATAGCCAAATTGGTTAAATAACTTGATTATATAACATTAAGTCCATGAGACAGGGAAAGTAGTGCAGAGAAAACAAACTTTGAGTCTCTTCTTTACTGCAAGTGAGCACCAGTGGCATTCTTGTCATTTTTTTCTTCAGATTAATAGATATGAAATATTCAGTCCTCAAGCAAAATATAATACTACTGTATCATTCTAGCAGTTTTGTTTTAGAAATTTTTGATAATAAGATGATACAGTAGTCTATTTATTAGCTCAGAAATATTTAACAATTCTATTTCCTGGTTTACATAGTGCTTTTAGAGGTCTGTCTGCATGATGTTAGGAGAGGTCTCGATTCACAGATGCTCAGTGAGGCGTTCACTCCATCTCCTCCTGAATGGCCGTAGAGCAACCATTATAGGCACTAAGATACCCAGAGCAGCTAAGGCAGCAGCCTGGGTGTTGATGACGATGGCCTCATTCTCCATCCGTGAGTATAATATTTCGTTGGTCTGGGGGTCCCTGTGTGTCATGGCAATGCAAGGGTTAATAATGTAGCCCCAACATGCTCTAGCAGAAGTTATTATTTCACTTGACACTGATGAACCCATGCACCCACTAGTTTAAGACAGACATAATAAATAACATTTGCAGGAAGTCTGAAACAGAATCATACAAATAAAAGTATTCACAAGAAACATTAGTCATGAGTAAACTGGACCTCACTTCCACAGACAGTGGTAACAGATTTTCTAAGAAATATTGTTGTCTTCAAGCACTGCTACAGATACAAAATGAGGCAATTCTTATTTATTAGTACTACAATACCATTCATCTTATTCCGAGGTTATTTTACAAAAGCTTAAGTGCGAGAAACTAATAGACTCAAGAGATTACTGTACTGTACAAGGAATGATGTTTCTCACAGTAGGGATATGATTAATCATGAATTTTTACTCGAAAGATGTTACACAATTCTGAATAGAATCTTGGCAACTAGAACCTTCTCAAAATGTTTGAGATTATCTGTTTAATATGATATGCCTCATTAAAAGCTTATTACCTGAGTTGGAAGAATTGAAAAAAAAATAATTCTGATGATTACAGCATGTTTAGTATTAATTTTTATAACTGATAAATATTATACAGTACCAGTATAAATATTGAGATGCGAATGACATTCACAGCGAATTATGAACATCATCAAATATCCTTTTTAAGTTTAGTTTTCAAGATTTCTTTATCTAGTGTGTCAATAAAATGGCTTTCACGAGTTATCATTAGCCAATGCATGTTTCACTGTACACTATATTATCTAGACAAAATTGCTCTTACTTCATGCTGGGAATGAGATAAAATGTTGCAAGAATCTATGTAGTGCTAACACTGTAGTCAACAGTCTAACCATATCCGAGTCACTCAATTTTTTTGTTATGCACAAAATATTTAAAATATATAAGACAAGGATTGATCCTGAAATCCCTTTTTGTAATCAGTGCCAAGTGAATGGTCATGTAATTGTTATAAATGTGCTACAGCAATTATATCCACCCTATTGTTTCATGACCATAGTTATATAATGGTTGGCCTTGGTGCCCGAGGATGGCCGGCCCTAGGGTCACCTAGACGTGAATTTGTTTAAGATGTAGAAGCTGTTGCCACAACAACAACCACACCCAAAGTTATTGAGTTGCATGACCCATTGTCAAGGAATAATCCAAGAAAGCCAGACAGGTCGCCAACTGCACTGGAACACCATCCGCAAATCGATTAACATCAAAGTCTCCAATTACTGCTGGGTAGACAGAGGCAAAGGGCATAAAGAAATTTACCCGTAGTTTTACCTTGTCCGGGAATCGATCCCGGATCCACTCGCTTGCGAGACAAGTATGCTGACCATTACACCACAGGTTGCCATTGACCAATCTACATCAGTAGCTTATCCTTCCAATTCTAGATGAAAGGGGTTTTGAAGGAAATGCCTGGTGTCATTCAAATCAGGCTCTGCCACTATGGTCAAGACATTATGGGTTAGACACATTAAACCGAGTGGGGTCATAACTATTACAGGACAATTTGCTTTGGCCTCATTATAGAAAGCAGCCAATGGGTAAAATTATATGCTGACTGGTGGTTACCAGTTAGAATATTTATAACAAAATAGGCTTACTGTAATAAAGGAGAATCCACAGTGAACTGTGCAATTGATATAATATACACTGACCATAAGCAGATTACACCTAATACACTGCAAGATGCACACCACCACTGGCTATGGAAGTAAGTTATAGAATGCAATAACATATTTATTAGGATCTTTTGGTTAACATCAGCAGGCACAATAGATGTAGAAACTATCTGAAAACAAGCTGGCTATTAGTGTTTTTAATGAATATGCATCTTCAAAAAGAAAATATAGATAGATAAATGTTAATCAGCATGCAGAAGTAGTTGTATGTCTGTATCTTCTAAATCTGTATATTTAAAGTGATTCAGTTCTTGTACAGTATTCTACCCATTTTATTTCATCTGGTTACAAGATGGTACAGTCTGACTTTTAACATTTTTCTATGAATATTGTGTGATTCTACTTAGCTAAGTCATAAGTGCTGTGTCTCTGGTCATCTAAAGCTTGTCGTCTCTATATCAACCCTTCATTCTCTTGTCAGGTTAAGGCATTCAAAATGAATACAGTACTGTTGTACCTTTTTAGCCTTGTTGTTGTTATATTTTAACAAAGCATTTACTAAATACAACTAAAATAATGAATATATGCAGTAAAACAGTGATACTGTAAATATACTCAGTTCATTGGCAAAAAACCAAGCTTAAGTGAGGCAACAAGTATTGGTCAACATACAGAAAGTGGGGAAGAATGTTTAAATAGAGATATTTTCAACAAGCTGTTATTCGCAAGGAAAAAGATTTCAGAAGTAGCACATCCATCAAATAATACTGCCAGGCAACAAGTGTAGTAAAGGGTAAATGCAAAATGCAAGCATGGGGCTTTGAAGCACAGGATAGGAATATATATTTTGCTGGATGGCTGTACAGAATGACAGACAGTTCTAGTAATAATCTCTCTCTCTCTCATTTTCTCTCTGCATACAAAATTCCCATGCTGTAAAAAGAATAATACTTTCATAATAATACTTAAGATGGCAGAGAAGATATAATATCTTTCATTAAAATATTAAAATCCATATTCAACTGTATGGTTCTTGTACCATATTACAAAATTTTGTCTGCATAAAACAGATTGAAATCACGCAAGTTCCTTAAGACTTTCAGCATTCAGTTTTTGGAAAATGAATATAATAATAAGAGCTTTAAATAATGATAGGGTATATACAGTACTGTCAATTTCTAAAAAGATGTTCATTACTTACAAAAAGAGTTGCTCTCTCAAGCTATATACAGTATACTTACTTGGCATGCATATGATGTAGTATACAGTATTTATACAAATCCATACATGCGGACATTATTTTAAGTGTGTGCAGATCCTAACACCCACTACCTTGCTACTCTCTACTTCTTTATTTGTACTCTTTCAGCTTTCTTCAACTTGAACCTCACTGTGCAAGTTAACCAATATAGATGCAGTATCTTTCTATAAGTAATGAAATACAGTACAGTATTGAATCTACTGATGTTAAATTTGTTATTTCACTTACATTATTATTGACATTATAGACTGCTTTAACAATTATCTCTCAAACTTTCTTTAAAAAAAAAAATTCTGATGACATACTGCATATACCATTTTCACAAAGTCACTCTGTGTCTGCTGTAACAGAAATGTTGTACTTGAAAAGATTAATGCTTTTAAATGTTTTAAATTATTTATTTAGCAACATTCTATACAAAAATTTCTGCTGTTCAGCAGAGTGATCCGTGCAATTTTCTCCAACTACACATCATACACAACCATTTACACTGATACACATACTGATTATCTACATGTGTATATAACAACATAAATTGAATCACCTGATGATTTCACACCCCAGCTTATTTCATCATTATATTAACTACCCTAACACTAATCTAACCTAATCTAACTCAATCTAACCTGACATCACCTAAATTAACTAAACCTGACTTAACCAAACCTATGGCACCCTACCCTAACCTGTCCCAACATAAAGCTACCCCTAATCTAACCTAACCCCCCAGGTAGCATTAGGATGGTTAATCAATCATCGGGTGAAATAAGCCAGGGTGTTTAATCATCGGGTGATCCCCAAAATTCATTCAACTTAACAAATACAGTATTCCCAACAAGCAAACATTCATATCATACATTTTTCCTCACTAATCTGTTTGGGTTGTTTCTAACAAAAAGAAAAAAAAATGCAACTCAACATAAGAATTGTTAAACAATATACGGTTGAGTGGGTATACATGTAAACATGCTTAAATATATGGTGCTGAATATTATTGCATATTTGAATCTGTCATGGAAACTTATTTGTAATAAAATTTTTAACTTTGCTCTATTAATGCAACATTTTACTAACTGTTAGTTAGATGCAATACAATATTACTTGAATATGGTAAATAGCATTTCTTATGGAAATACACATTTTAAGAAATAAAAACTTTAATAAGAATAATTTTTAACAACTCATCATTATACACAGCTTAACACAATGGATTAAATAAGATGTTTGTTTTATTATGTAGCTGAATAAGTTATACAAAGCACTGCATAATTACTTAATGAATATCATACACAGTTACCAAGGCACAGACTTGTAGACTGGCAGACATATCCACAGAATCAGAATTACTTTTTAAAGAAAAAAGATGTTTTCAACCAAATGAGTAAGATTTATTTACTCTACAGTTTATATAAAAATAACTTCAAATGGCACAGATCTACAAACAACATAACAAGTGCTATACATTACAAGAAGCTGTACATACCAAGTGCTGTTCTAACTCAAGTCATAGTTGCAAAGTTCCAGTAAACAATTTCTGTATACTTTCAATGAATAAGGATCATTAATAAATGAACCGTACTGTTAAATGAAAATCATATAACTCCTGGCTATCACAGAGAATGTAAGTGTAAATAATGATCACATCCCAATCTCTTGTCACTGTAACAGATCCTTTTTTCCATTCAAGTATAAAGAAGTGCACAGTACAGTACTGAGTCATAGTTTATTCATGTTCTCTATAGTAATAAGTCTTCTGAGTCATAACATAGTGAGAGTTGGAGGGTGGATCAATAATAGCCACAGGATGGGTACTGCGGGCATATCTAGAAGAGTACAGTAGAAATCCCATCAGTATGGCCAACCCAGCTAGACTTGCTGCCTGAGCGTTGATCACCCAGGCCTCCTCCACCCTCTGAGAATAGCCAGTACTGCAATGGGGGAAGGAAATATGATGACCTAACGAATTTTAAGAATTATTATCCTTTAATATTGTACTGCCGCTGCCTCTTGTACGTCAAACTGAAAAATACATAAACGGAACAAAAAAATGGATGCACAAAAAAAAATAATAATAAAAATACAATACTGTAACTACAATATGTGGAAATTACCATTAAAATTTATGAAGTACAGTACAGTATTAGTGATAACGGCTCCACTTGTTATCCATGTTCAGGTTGTTTAATGTATCTAGTCCTTGAAATGCTCACAGACTTTAGGATTAGTAAATATAGTTCATCAACACTTAAGCATTCAGTTTTGGATTGGCATACATATGCTGACACAATGTGTGTGTGTGTGTGTGTGTAATCTTGCCCGCATGCTTATGTACACTCACTAAAAATTTATTCAGCACCCTTGGCTCTGATACATGGTACCCATGTCTCTCTCTCTGTACACACATAGAGAGAAAGAGAGACAGGGGTAACAACCACACCACGTAATCATGGCTTCTGTACCAGTGATCGTTGCGGGGGTGTATCAGAGCCAAGGGTGCTGAATAATTTTTTAGTGGGTGTACTGTACAGTGTACATGCATGTGTATAATAAATGTGGGTGTATTTTTTCATGTGACTACACACACACACACAGTCACGGACGACAGTACTATGATAGGTATCAATCTGTCTCCATATAGACAATATAGTATACTGTATACCGGTACACTGTACAGCATATATATATATATATATAGAATACAGTACAGGTAGTCCTCATTTATCGCAATATTTGTTATTTCTTGCATTTTAATTTTTATGACCAAAATATTCAATTACCACATTTTTCATAGTTCTACAATGCCACCATAAGAAAATTTTTCAAATCATGCACACAAATTATGTCGAGTGAGCAGAATTTAACAAGAACCTTCTAGATGCACAGAGATGCAATTTCACTCTGCTGTACTGTACTATGTATCCCTATGCTATGGAACATGGTGTTCAGCTAGTTGACACATGGCCATGAAAGGGAGAACATGCACACCCCTCTAAATTACAGTACACTGAATAGTGTACAGGTATTTCACATATCAGTCCAATTACTGTACAACCAAAATTCCCAGTCAGAAACACATTCTCCAATTTAATATTTTCTTTGGCTAATGCCAGATGATTTTATTCAGCTCAGAGTGGACCCTATATACAATGGGTTAATACAGTACAGCAATGCACCATCTATTGTTTCCTGTGGGATAATTTGTGTCACATAAGAGTAGGCTCTCATATTTGGACACCTATTTAGACTGGAAAAACCTAGCAAAATTCAAATCGTCCAAATTTAAATTTTGCCTTATTTACCCTACTTTTTTGGCGAATTACTACCTGTAAAAAAGCAACATCCTAATAAACCAACGAAAATAACACAGATAAAGTTAATTAAAAACTAAAAACAACACAGAAAAAGTTTATTAAAAAAAATAATAATAATTTTGCCTTGTCAGCCAAACTATATTTTAAATGTTTCTTGCCAACTCTGTATTCCCTTTTTGCCTTTGGCGGTTCTGGGCGCTTAAGAGGGTTTCCATTCACACCAGGTTGACCCCCACCACCCACTGGTTCAACACTTGCCATATCAAGGGCGCGAATTGAGCATCTGAACACGAGATCACCAAGAGATAAAGTTATGGCTGTCTCAGTGTGTGGGCGGAAAAGAACTAATGGCGCTGCTAGCGATACAAACAACTAAGAACTACCGGTAACTGGCGGGCCGCTCAAACCCGTCGAAATTCGAGTTTCCGACGTCGAAATTTGAAATTGTGTAGTACGGTAGTTTTTTTGTGTCCAAATAAAAAATGTCGAATTAAAAACTCGCAAAATTTGAGAACTATTGTATTGAAATTCTGCACAATGCAAAGATTTTCAGGAATGAAATCCTTGCAATAAATAAGGACTATATAGTGCTGCATACATATACTATATACCGTACAGTACCAGTATATATGTGTATATACATGTGTAATTCAAAACATTTATTCCTTTAACTGTATTCATATAATTATGGTAACAAAATCACACAAAAAACAGGTCATGCAGACAGGTAAAACTTAACACTTACCAGTTATTTTCATATTTACTCAGTGATGCATTAAAGGAAATAAAACATCTCTGATAAGATTTGTTTACTATAAATCTCAAAATCATTATTGATACTCTGCAAAAGGAAATATCCTACTGTTGGTTCTGTCAATAAAAAGTTCTACACCCACTGATGCTTCCCATTTTCATGGACTATCATCAGTGTCCCACTAGATTTACTGTGGTGTTTGGTAGACATTTGCAATATAAGAAGCACAAGAATTGCCAGACCCCCGAGAGCCACTGCTTGTGTATTTATTACGATCGCTTCACTTGATAATGATATGTATCCAAACCTGCATCAGAAACATATATGTACTATAAATAATGGTGTAGGACTGTAGGTGATCATTCATTCAATAAAATATGATGAAAAATTTTCTTTTGTATTCTACATTATTAAATCTGGTATTGCATAAATAGCCTAATTCAATACAGTATTGTAAAATTTATGTTCAAGAATACAGGTGTTGACCGTTATACGATTGGGTTAAGGACTTCAAAAAGCAATCATAAGGTTTTCATTTGTATATGAATATCAATAAGTTATGTGGAAAAAATAAGTTCTGATCCTAAGACCCTGAAGAGCCAGAGTTCGTACTAACAGCGGTTATTTTTCAACTTGTAGTTTCGGGTAGACATACAGTACAGTACGTAATTTTCTTCGCATTTTTTATTATTTTTTACTTTGTTACGTGTACACACAATCCTTTATATATAATGTGCAAAAAAAAACAAAAATTATTATTAGGACAAAACATAAAGGGAATAAGCATTTCAAGTGGGCGGGTGTTATCACTGAGCGAAGTTGACATTCCTTTTTTTTTACACTGTCACATGCACACACAATCTTTCATACAAAATGTGAAAAAAAAATATATAAAACAATTAATATAAGGTCAAAAACATAAAGGGAGTAATCATTTCTTATGTGTGCGGGATTTATCACACGGCGGGGGTACCGGTAGTCATATGTAATTTTCTAAAAAAAATTTTTTTACTCTGCTACATGCACACACAATCATTCACACAGAATGTGCAAAAATAACAAATCAAAAAATTATCAAAAGGTCAAAACCATATAGGGAATAAACATTTGTTACGGGGAGGGTGGAGATGTGTGGGAGATTTCTCAGCTGTTTGCGGTCTCATGTCCCACGTGGAGAACTACAGTATACTGCCAAATGGCAACACAGTATTTTTTCTTTTCTTTTATTTATTATTACTATTTTTATTTATTCCTAACATTTACTGGTACAGTATATATTATTTTATGTACAAAGAGTAGCTTCTTCCACATGCAAATCATCCTCTGGGTGAAGTGACACAGTTCAACTGCTCAACCTGGCAGTCACCGGGGATGGGCAGTGCCTCCCACACATCTGCGTGGGTCACACGTGTTATGCCATTCTGGGATTGCATCAACATATCTCAGAATATTAGGAGTTACTGCACACCACCTTTTTATAGCAGTGACAATGCAAGAATAGCATTCGGGTAGCGACATCATAAATCTGATCTTTGCCATCGCATAGTGGTACTGTACAGTATTTGGTTATCATTTTTAAACATTGTAAATTGATTGATCATATATTCAACTGTATAACGGTCAACACCTGTACTGTCTGAATATTACAGTTTATACTTATTGTATTCATATTACAGTACTAGAAATTAAGAAAAATAATTTATAGCTTAAGTACTAAAAAATAGGAACTATGACTTCATTTTCTCCATCTAATTTTCAATGTAAAAAAAAAAAAATTTGCTTGGAACATAGAATTTATTTTTTTATGGGTAAGTTTTTAATCTAACTGAATGCCATTGTTGGTTATCCAATGACGGCAAGATGCTAGCCCAAAATAAAGTATGTTCTGTTGAGTGTTGCTGACACCATGTGTGGCTGGACGATGGGCCCAGCCAAGCATGCAGTAACATGGTGGTGGATCAATGAATTGGAAAGAGTAATAGAAGCGATAAAGAAGAATTTACACTGACACCAGGTAATCATGGCTGACCAAAAAAAGTGTGGAAAATATCTGTAAAATGGTAGTGGTGATGATGTCAGAGGATGCACCAGGAAATGCTATAAAACAAGCCGAGCACTGGACAGTACTGTAGTTAAAGCCTACAGCTACTGCCACACAGTATAGCTGTATGCTGTAATACATTAGCAGGGGCAGATCCAGGGGGTTCATGGTGTCCAGACCCCCTTTTCATCAGAAAATTCCATTACTCTTTCTTTAATGCCGTATGGTACTCAGGCATTTTAGTATACTGCAGTAAATAGTGATTACTATTGACCTCAGAATATCTCCTAACATGGGGAGGGTAAGTAAAAAGTAGTACAGCACAGAAGAATATGGGCACCATTTTCTCTCTCCCTTGAGATCATAGCGTCAGTCTTCACATGCCCAGTATTCAACAGGGTTATCCAGGTTCAGCATGTAAAATTTAGTTGTGAGGAAACCAGGAACATAAGAAAACTGTATATTTTCACCTCTTCTATGTTGCACAACTGAGCAATAGGCCCCAAGCCAAACCTGCATGAACTCTACCACAGTGTCAGGTGTTGTTAGGTATCACCACTAACCCAGTGGGAAAATACTAACTGGCTTGTGATGCAAATGTAAACTCTCTTGGACCATGAAAAATACCCTTTTTTTTTCTACCACTAATATCTAGTGCCTGTACTGTAAGGGAACTACCGGTGGTCCATCCAGATGGAAGTGTCCAAAATATATGAAGAGGAAACAATGAGCTCCTGAAAATAAAATAACCAAGAGGATATCCACTCAATGCAGCCAGATGACTGGAACTGAGTGTCATTGGTCCTGTTACCCATATTTCAAGCAATGGCAACAAGTCATAGAGCGCTTATATATTGTACTAACACAGTGGGTGAGGACTCTTAGCTTTCAGTCTAACTGGTAATTTGATACCTGAAAAACCTCCAACATTTACTTTTGGTGATATTTTTTTATTTTTTTCCTAGAATTTAGTCTCAGTCATACACATCAGGGGTCCTGGGCTATCAAGCCTACAGATGTGTTGGTACACAAGAGTTACCTATCTTAGTGCTGATTTATAAATGGACTTAATTTAGATATGGATGGTAGGACTGGAAGGGTGATCAAGAAGGTGGAAGGATGATGTGAGATAGGTACTTGATAGGAAGAAAATGGAAATTCAGGAAGCAGCTGTGTGAATGTAGGATCAGACACGTGAAACATTTTCTGAAGATGGCCAGGTTACTGATGAGTGATGCTGGCATATATGAAGCAACAAGAATAATCATCACCAATATTTTATGATTACTATATTCTCGATGCTTGTATGGATTTGCTATGATTACCTGTTGACAGCTCTCCCATTGTATTGGTTTTGAACACCAGAGGTAAATGACAATTTAGAATACTTGGAGCATTCATATTGTGATGCTGTAGGTGAACTTTGCCAAGAATGTTTGCATTAATCAAGACAAAAGTTAAGAGTTTCATAAGGTTATCAAATGCTGGCCTGTTTCTAACCATAAGTAATGCCAACTAGTAATTTTCCAGCATTATTACCATGTGGAAAAGTATGGATGCAAAGCTGAAACTTAATCAATTGAAAGAAGGGCACCAACAGGAGTGGAACTTGTGGCTTAATTTGACTGAACACAAGATACCTCACCAGGCACAGAGACTGGAAGGACTGATAGATTGAGAGCTCTTTCTCGGTTCAGCAGGTAGTGGTGCATGGCCATTATAAGGTGGAGGAGGGCCTTGTTATGGAAGGGAAGCATCGTAGCAAAACACATCTTGTAATCTAGTTCAGCAATTAAAGAAAAGGAATATTGAGACAATCTATTGTTTCTCTTTGTTGCTTCTGATTCTGGCCACCTTGTGCCATGTGGGAGAAGGTATGCAAGAGTGAGAAAAAAATGTGTTAGTGTGATTGTCATTAAATCTTTATCTGAAATATCAAAATACACAGTAAAGTCATTACATATACTGGAATAGGTCAAATATATTAGCTTCTGACATCCAAGGTATATTTACTGCAAGTTTTTACCACAGTGAAATACATTTGTTTTTGTAATCTGCATGTGAGGGAAGAACTGATTCTCAGCAAGTTTACTAAATACAGTGCGGTGTATAGTATACGTGTACAGTATACCTCTCAGTGGATTCAGCCTTGCACAAACATGTAGGTTGGATGCCTTCAAGACAAGGGTAAATTTTGACTAACCTTAGAGCAAAGAAGGCCTTCTCAGTATATCCTGTAACGGCAGTGGCAATAGCAAGCATAAATGTAATGATCCCAAAGGTAGCATGGATGGGGACCAGACCAGCACGGAACCTGGCTGTTCCCTGCTCACAGCAGAGTAGAAGCCAGAAGCTGAAGAATCCAACCACCAGCTGCAACCATGAGTATACTGTATTAAATATTCAGTCAATCAGTAGATTTAGTTTTTTGAAACTGTACTAATACTGTACTACAGGTTGACAACCTTTTATCCGAAATTCTGAAAACCGAAAAGCTCTGAAAACCGAAAGTTTTTTATATATATATACAGTCAACCCTCACATTACGCGGTCCCGCATTCCGCGTTTCACCGTTAATGCGGTGCCCTGCCGGAACCTAACATGCTCACATTCCGCGGTGCGTGTACCTCATTACGCGGAGAGCGGCTGGCAAGCCGCGCCATTTTTGGATCCAAACCTCCCGCCATCCGCCATGTTGTGTAAGAGGCGCGAAAATGGTGCGCACAAGGTCGCCCAGTCATCAAAACATTACCAGTTCTTCACCCGCCACCCACTACAGCCGGCCCAAGTCAGTGATAGTGATAATTATAGTGAGGATATGGACTTATATGAACTTTGGGGGGTTTGACAAAGAGGCCCTGCAAGCCTCTGTGGTGGATAGTGATACAATTGATACAAGTGATACAGGTGAGGGCCAATAATCTGCCCTCTGCCTCGGAACCAACCGCCCATCCCCGTGTGCCCAGCCATCTTTTCTACTAATGTAAGTGTTAAAAAACCTAATATTATTGATATTTCTCTTAATTATTAATTGTGTGTGCATGCCATCATAAAGTTAAGATAATATTTTTACTACAACATAGTTGTGTGTCGTCAAAAAGTGGAGTTTGGGGGTCGGCCTGGACTCTATTTCAATTAATCCCATATGTTATGTTATTCACTTTACGCGTTCCTCACTTTCCGCGGTACCCTCCGGGTTACATTAACCGCGTAAAGTGAGGGTTAACTGTGTATATATATATATATATATATATATATATATATATATATATATATATATATATATATATATATATATATATATATATATATATATATATATATATATATATATATATATATATATATATATATATATATATATATATATATATATATATAACAGGGATTAGCCCACCCAGGCATAGATCACTGACCCACATCGGGGTCTGGGGGGCGAAAATGTAATAGTAATACTAATTATAATAATAATAATTATTCATAGTAAATAACAATTTTAATTAAAAAATACACCAAAATAAAATAATAATGATAACAATAATAATAATAATAATAATAATAAAATATAATAAAATTTATATTAATAATAATAATAATAATAATAATAATAATAATAATAATAATAATAACAATAATAATAAATACAAGAATGAAAAAAGATAAAAAGTGAGAAACACGACCTAGACCTATGAATTATTATTATTATTATTATTATTATTATTATTATTATTATTATTATTATTATTATATTTTCGCCCCCCAGGCCCCAATGTGGATCAGTGACTTGTGCCCGGGTAGGCAAATACACTTAAAAAAAAATAAAAAAAATTCTGAAAACCGAAAAATTCCGAAATCCAAATGCCTCTGGACCCAAGGATTTCGGATAAGGGATTGTCAACCTGTACTGTGTTAGTAAAAAAAAAATACTAAAATGCAACTAGGAATGGATTGCATAACAAAACTAAAATGCATCTTTACTTGGAACATACGGCAGCATTAATATTAGTGACGTCACTTGACATACAGTACTGTACTTGTACATTCATTGAAACTTTGTTAAAATTCTGAAGAGTGATTTTGCTTGGACTGAGCAATTAGCATATCCTGCAGTGCATAAGCATATTAAGAAAACTGTCTATAACAAACATTTCTGAAAACATTCTTAAGTCAATATTACCACAGCAAACATCAAAATAGCCACCACCTTGGCACCCTCACATTTTATACCGTTCTATGTGTGTTTGTTGGTATGTGTCAGCAAAGCCTGGAATATATAAGAGGATTTTAAGCACATTTACATTCATTTTACAGAAAAATATTAACATGCTTAAAGCAATTTTATCTTGGTGCATATAAACACTCTTGGAGTTTTCATATGCAAATTTGCCTATGAATTAAAAAGTTACAGTAAAATAATTTTTTTTGCCGTATGAATGCTAGACACGCAAAAGGTAAATTTTCAACGTCGCGCGACCTGGTAACTATGTAGACTGCACTCCAAGGTCACCACACCAGGCTCCCTTTTGTGTTTAAAGGACCCAGGATATAATGTTGACCTACACTTCCTAATGCTTGCACTGATTTCTTGTGCATCAGAGTCATTTAATTTATTCATAACAGTGTTGTGAGAGTTTTGAACCATGCCTCGTGTTGTTGGCGAGAGTGAAAGGGTGGGAAAATGTAAAGTGTGCAAGGAGATTGCACCATGTGGTGATAATGTGGTGCATCCTGATGCCTCTCCCAGTGTCCCTGGCCCTTCTAGCACAAGTGATAGTTTTTCTTGCCCTTCAACAAGTAGTCCTAGTGCTATGACTCAATGCAGTATGTTCAATTATCTTTTGCGCCTGGAGGGAAAAAAATTAATAATCTGTACTAGACGTGGGCGCGCTCATCAGAATGCAAAATTTACACTACTATTACCTACTGAAATATTAATTTTCTCATAAATTTTCTTCTAGAACTATTTTTTTATTAAATATGTACGCTTTATAATGGAATGATGTTCATATTGCAATCACATGAAATAAAGGAGGTACAGTATACTTGTACAGTAGAGTGATGTACAAACATTTTTATCGTGTAAACAAAAATTTTGTGTTCTACTAACGCTTACGTATAGAAATAATTATTTTATCATGATTGTTCATATAAAATTGTTTGTAGATAATTTATTTACAATGCTAATGCAATAATCTCACCTTTTTATCTCAAATAGCAAGTTTGCTATGACTCTTTAAGAACAATTATCTCTTGTGTGGTGCAGTCAAGTGCGGTGAGGTGAGAAACAGGCCAGATCTAGAGTGTCTCGCAGGAGAGCGCCTCCCCAAACCCAAGAGCTTTAACAATAATTAACAATCTTAATATGGTGAGCTATTTGCACAAAAAGTTGGCAGGTTTATACAGTATCTACATTCTTAAACAATAGAGAGAGAGAAATGCATCATGCTTTTCAAGATTGTGTTATTAAATGTGGGGCAACTGATCAAGACAATGGATTATTCATGACGTCAACATTGCTGTTTCTGAACCTTTACTCTACAAGAAAAGCTTTTATATACCATGCTACGTGGATTACATGCACTAGGAATGACTGATTACATGTACAGTACTACTAAATATAATTACAGTTGGCATAAACTACCCAATTGCTTGTAAGGAACAACGCCATCCACAGTCAAACTGAAATTTTGTAGAAGTTCAATCCAATTATAAAATTTGTTGAGTTGGAGAAGCTAACACCTCTAATGTTTCTCGATTATAGTAAATGGGGTCTAAAGAAAGCTTATTAACTTGAACTGCTACTTCCTCTGTGCTGGGCTGTACAGTACATCCCATTAGGCAATCTAGAGTCCGACTTTTTTTTCATCTCTAATTCACGATTACTGTGCAGTATTTTTTTTTGGGGGGGGCCTATATGTGGAAACACATTTAATTACATGTTTTATACCATACAAAGACTGTTTTAAAAGGCAGCCATGCAGTCTGGTACTTGATGTACTAGTTCTTGTTCAAACAATTTCTTGCTCTAAGTACAGTACAGTATAAACTGTTGTAGATGTAGCTGCGGAATATAAGACTCCTTTTCCATTTGCTGGGTACTGGAATTCTTTACAGTACAGTATATTATTCTAATAAGGGGTGAACAATATTACAGAACTATACTGAAAATAATAATTCAAAGAAGGGATTTTCCTTTAAAATGCAAGTAACGTACTGTATAGAAAGAAATTTAATTCTTTTGATGAAACCCAACTGTAAAGATGGATTATTTAACTAAAACAACAATATATGTACCGGTAATAAAACTATTTTATGGAACAAAGTGCGGCCAGAAGTAAAATTAAAACAAAGAGTTTCTTGTAATAGGATCCCAAGTTTTCATCTTACCAACTTATTCTTTATCTAAACCTTCGTTGGTTCTTTTAAATTGTATCTACAAAATATGGTGAGGATTGGCAGGACTGTTTAGATCAACAGTACAAAAAGATCGAAAAAGTGTATCAAAACTGCAGTAGGTAACCAGATGATGGCATGAAATAAGTTGATCTTGACCAGCGACCTATCCACATATTCTGTGTATTTATAATCTATACGTACATATTGCCTTTTTTCATTTTACTTTTAACCTCTTCGCCACTGATTGGCTCATTAGCCACTTAGGTGGTCGTTCACATCTTTGTTATGCATTGCTGACAAGTACATGTACTAAGAATGCACTGGCTCCTAAATGTATCTGAACCTGCTCCAGTGTTGGTCAAGTCTGGTCTTAAAAGAGCTCACACACAGTGCCATCACAACAAACTCTGGCAGATTGTTCCAAGAGTTCACAATTCTCACTCCAAAAAAGTTTGCCTTCACAGTTTTCTTGACTTATTGCTTCTTCAACCTTGAGCTGTGATCCCTTGTGGGGCTGACGTCCGCCAGCTCCAGGTATGGACACTCGATTGAGTAGTGCCCTCAGAGATGCTTATACATTTCAATTAGATCATCCCTTGCCCATCTGTAGTATAAGCTAGGCTTGCAGGTGCCGTAGTGCAAGCACCAGTCTGGTGACCCTCCTTTGGACATTTTCAATCAACTAACAATCTCTCGCATATCTCGAGGACCAGACGGAGTGACAAGTACTCCAGACAGGGAAGCACCTTATTCTTGAAGATCGTTACGGGGGACGGATCATCTAGATATCTGAACGACCTTCTTATAAGACCTACTAGTTTAGTTGCTTGATTCACCTTCTTCTCACAATGGCCTGATAACTTCAGTTCATTGTCAACATACACACCCAAGTCCTTTTCACATTCGGTCTCCATTAATGCAGTTTTTTGTCCCATTGGGTAATATGATATGCCTCCTTACTATTGGTACAACCTAGGTGCATCCTCTTACACTTCGTGACATTGAATCTTAGCAGCCATTTCTTCGATCACTCTTGAAGCTGGCAGAGACTTTACTGTAGCTCTTCACAGTCTGTTTTGTTCTTAATTTCCCTGAATAACTTGGCATTGTCTGCAAACATTTGTATGGAGGAGTGTACAGCTTCTGTCATGTCATTTATGAAACAAACACACAACAACAGACCCAGTACACTGCCATGACAATTTTGTGCATTAATCTCCACACTGCTTGTGATCATGAAGAAAGTCTACGATCCATGCTGGGACGCTTCTCCAAATCCCGTACCCTTCCAGTTTAATTCTCAGCCTTTCATGGGGTATGCTAATGAAAGCCTCTGTATATCTAGGTATATATTGTTGATATTACAGTACTGCATTGTTCCAGAATTTGAGTCAAAACATTCAGTACCTTGAGTAATTGTGTTAAACTGGAGTGTCCCGGCATAAAACTGTGTTGGCAGCCCTTTGCAAGGTTGTTTCATAGTAAATGTTCCATCACAACTTCTCTTATAATGCTCTTGAGTACTTTACACACTATGCTGGTCAGGTTTACTGGTCTATTAATTACTCGTGGAGTGACGATCGCAGGGGCGGATCCAGGAATCTCAAAACGGGGATGGGTCCAAGAAGTTGTGAGTGCAGGAACATAGCAAGTACAGCGGGCCCACCCAGCTGGGAGTTTTCTGGGGGGATGCTGTAAGCCCCTCCCCCAGAAAAATTTGAAATCTGGCCAATATCAGAGGCATTTCGAGGCAGTTTTGAAGCCATGTGCACTTGATAATAGGATATATTCTGAGGTCAATATTAATTACTTTCTCCTTTACAAAAACACCTGAGTACAATACTGCATTATAGAAAAGGATTGGAATTTTCTGATGAAAAGGGGAAGTCTGGACCCCCAGGACCCCCCTGATCGCCCTTGATGAATATTGGAATCACATAAGCTATTTTCCAGTCACTAGGGACCTTTAGCTCATTCAGGCACTTACAGAACAGGATCTTCAGGGGCTCAGCAAGCTCGTTGTACAACTTTCTTAGAACTCTGGGAAGCACCATGTCAGGGCCGGGACTCTTATGAACCTTTAGCTTTGACAATTTATTTCTTATACCCTCTTCTGAGAACACAGTGTGGGTCAGCGCTGCGTCAAACTGTCTATCCTCAAATGCAGGAGGATCGTTCGCATCCTCTTTTGTGAACACTGAGGAAAAAAAAATTGTTCAATGCCTCTGCCTTGTCCTGTTCAGAATCCACATAATTACCATCTTCAAGCTTCAGATCCAATATGCCAACTCGTGTTTTTAATTTTGACTTTGTGTAACGGTAAAATTCCTTTGGGTTTGACGTAACCTCGCTTGTAATCAGCCTCCGAAACTCTTTTTCAGCCCTTCTACGCTCTGACGTTGCTTGATTCCTGATCTGGCATATATCCCCCTGTCCTGCTCATTATTTGTCCTGAAACATGAGTTTGTTTCTTAACTTTATCAACTGCCACATGGTTCATGTGTAACGGTCTCCTTGTAATCCTGGAGGCACTAGGTTTGGTCTTGGTTATATATTTATCGATCATATGGTACACTTTACTGGTCATGATATTCAGCGTAGTGTCTGCTTTCTTATATCTTAAGTGACTCAGGCCAGTGAATACCTCTCATCTCCCTCATCCTGTCATAATTGCCCTTGTAATATTTGAACATAGTCCTGCTTTTGTCGTGAGCCAAGTAATAGTTAAATCTGAAGGACAGCATTATGTGGTCACTGGTGCCAACGGGGGCTAGGTGTTCCAGCTTGGCCACCATACCCTCAATTTTAGTCATGAGGTCCAGTGGTTTGGGTGTTCGCTCCCCTCTGTAGTGAGTCAGATCTTTAACATGTTGGAATAGAAAAATGCCCCTCAAGGTTTCTACAAAAATCGTGGGATTATTAAGGTACGCTGGCGGGGTTTCATTTTTCCAGTCGATGTCGCCGTAGTTAAAGCTCACCATGACAAGGTGGTGGCTAGAGTTGAGCGCCGTTGTGTTGTTAATTAAGGCTCTTAAGTTCCTTTGGTTTAATAAGCTACAGTTTGGGGATCTGTAGATACACTGGAGAATGAGTAAGTCTAGTAAGTCTCTCCCCTTTAGTTTAATTTCACATCACTTCGATTATCTAAAAACATCCTTCCCCTGTACCCTCACCTGGCTGGCTCTAAGGTCTTGCCTAGCATAGATAACCACACCCCTCTTGCAAGTTGCTTGAGAAAGGTTTGTAAATGAATAATATCCATCAATACTCAACTCGCATTCCTCTGGGTTGACTCTCCTGTTCTTGTAGTTCTACAACACCTCCTACAGTATATCGGGTTGAATAGGGTTTCAAACTCTGCTCTCTTATCAAGGAAAGTGTTAGTATTAGTGTACTTGATTTTCAAACCAGAATTAATTCTCCATTCTCTGCAGCTGCCTCGTTTACTGTATCCCTGGTGTTTTGTGGGGTGTGGTCAGAGATGACATTGTTTACATGGTGCTCACCTACTCCTAGGTGGGAGGTGGATTGGGTGGGGGGGTGTCCAGCTGTCCCCTGGTTCTGTACTAGTGGACTTGTCTCCACTACTTCCCCCTTGTTTATAACCAATCCATGTTCGTCCCCTCTCCTCCTCGAGTCCTCCCTCTTCTGCTTCAAGAACTTCAGGAGTTTTTTGTGTTGTTCCCTCTGCATTACCGTGCAATCTGGGTTCATGAATATACCCTGAAATGCTTCATTCCTTACGAAGTTTTTTGCCTGCCAAATAACTTACCATTTTTTATCCTCACTCACTAGTGTGATCCTGAGAGGGCAGGGCATGTCCTCCTGCTTTTCTCCTAGCCTCTGCACTTCATGAGGGGGAGCTGACAAGTTCAGAGCATCATCAAAAATATTCTGAAACTTCATCATATTGTGTGTTTTCCTACTTTCAGCTTCCTCTGACTGGCTCTCAGGGGGTCCAAATACTATTACTGTACTATATTGTTCCTGCGCTCGACATGTTCCCGTTGTTCCTCCTCTTCCACATCAGTAGGTCTAATAGTTGTCATCTCTTCAACACACTTCTGCAGAGTCCCTAGCCGCTGAAGGACCTGTTCGTATCCTGCATTACTCTCCGTCACCTTCTGTGACCCTGCTGCAACCTGAGCATAGCTCTTCTTAACTGCTTCCTCAGTCTTAGTGAGGATCTCTTTCCCAACTTGCTCTAGTTTGGCAACCAACAAGGATCCAGCAATAGCCTCATTAACTTTGGTTATCCAGTTAGGGCAATACCAGCAACAGTCTCCATGCTTTCCTGCATTCAGCATCATCCTAAGCTGTAAGTTCAGACCCACACAATCCTCCCATGAAGAAATTGCATGTCAACAACTTCCTGGTGATGCTGGGATTTTAACCTTTGATTCCCTACAACAATGCATGTCTTGTCACAAACTTCTTTCTTTTATGTATTTAGACCTGTGGGACACGCAGTAATCAGTGTACAGTACTGTGCTCCACATATACAGGTATTTGTAATCTATGCATCCTTAATGAAAATTACACAAGTAATCACACAAAAAGAAAAAATTCTACTTCACAATCAAATTCCAATTAAACTTTCACAATAATAGATGCCAAATGTATATCAATACTGGTAGCTTAATATTTTCATATCTATTCTACGCAACTGAGAGGGACTGTGAAGAAAAGGGTCAAAATTTTAAGAACATTCAGCATCACAATCATTACCCAATTAAAATTTTGAGATATAAACCATTGATACTGTACCGTACTATATGTAATTTCATACAAAGACCAAAGCGGCACACAACAATAATCAATCTTTTCCCCCAATCAAAACAAATTCTAATATCTGATAAATGTTAGAGTAATTTATGTAAACATTTATATGACTATTGGTTTAATTTCTTTTAGAGTGTGCCTCATCTTAGAGGTTGACTCCATGTTAAGTGGCAGTGTTGTGGAGGGGCCGAGGTGGGGGACCGTCTCACCGTGTGTGTTACCTGGAGAGCGAAGAGTCCGATGGTAACCACACCCAGCCAGGAGTGGAGGGAATACAAATTAGGAATAGGTGGATCATTAAGGTTGTGGGAGTCAAAAACAGTAATAGTTCCCACAACAATGCAGGGAACAGCCATCAGGTAGAGGAAGGTGTGGAGGATCTTGGCCGTGAGTTTGTTGCAGCACCGGAACAAACGGTAAACCAACATTGCTGTAAAAGAAGGTCATTAAGCTAAGTACAACTATGAAAATTATCATGCAGTATTACAACAAAGATTTTGAGGAAACAATTTTCTGTCTAAAAATAGTGTTAGCTTTAGGGATGGTAATGGTTGTACATCTACTGTACAGTAGTTCTTGAGCAATATCTTTTTTTCACAACTATGTTCAGTGCTACTTTAATGTGTATTGAATTATACAGTTGTTCAATTTCAAAATAAAAATCATTGGCAATCTACTTAAAGTTACAGGATATGTCAATGGTAAAACCTTCTTGATATGCATACAAACTTGGAAATGGTTGTAAAATAATGACAATGGCATAGTCAGTGGAGTTGTTGGTGCTATGATCCCCTTCAAGAATATTTAAAAAAAAAAAAGACAGAATACCAAATAAAACAAAACGAAGAACATTTTCATTGTCCTGTCTATCATTATTAAACAAAACTCTGTAAAACTGCTTGGAGTTCTTCCCTCATCACCAAACTGTCCCTCAATTCCTCTTTACTTCTGTCTCATGTCAAACAATCTGTCTCTTGACTCCTTTTACCACTGTTTCTTGGGCCAGTGCACCAATAAAATCCAGTCCATCATCCCACTACCTTTCATTCCAAGTTGCAAAACACATTTGATTCTCGACCATACGACTTCTACTCCATGATAGTTTCTTGGTTCAATTTTATCATCTTCAACACTTTCATTCCTCACACTCATCTATTTTACTCCCTGCCCTTTCATATCATTCCATCCACATACACCCTAAAACTCCTCAACCACAACACATTATACAGTAACTCTTATTATACTGCATATTCAAATTAGGCGCCTTTATTCTACTTATCCACTTTTCATGAGTGCAAATGATGACTTTTTCTTTAATGCAGTATGCTGTACTCAGGCGTTTTTTGTATAGTAAAAAGTAATTACTATTGGCCTCATAATATCTCCTAATATAAAGTGCACATTGCATCAAAATGGCTTCAAAATGCCCATAATATTGGTCGGATTTCCAAAAAATTTCTGGCGGGGAGGGCTTATAGCGACCCCCTCCCCCCCCCGCTTGGTGGTTTGCTGTGTTCCCCTACCCACAACTTCCCTAACCCTCTCCCCCCTTTTGATATTCTCAGATCCACCCCTGAGAGCCATCAATCACCACACACTGCTTGTAGTCACGAAGAAAGTTTCTGTTCCACGCTAGGACATTCTACCGAATTTCGTATCCTTTCAATCCTTTCAGTATAAATTTCAGCCTTTCGTAAGGTACACTTTGGCAAAGTCAAGGAATATTTTGTCAACACTCTATGAGACATTTTCATGTTTGCCTTGACAAATGGAAAGTTTAATTATTTTTAAGAATAAATTTCTCTTACTTGGGAACAATGAAAATAATTTCCGACACCCTCAAAGCGTCCACCATACCTAAAAAAACCTCTATATAGACACCAAAAATATCCTTCCAGCATCTCCCTATCAATAGTTATGGCTATTTTCCTACATGACCCAGTTTGGTCGACGGCCATCTTGGATTTATGCAAATTACGGGAGTTGCTCAATGCTGACGAAGTGCCATCACCTGAATCTGATATCTATGACTGAGGATTATAAATCCACCAAAAACCTTAGGATACCAACAATTTCAAGGTTCAAACACTGTATATGATTGTAAAAGCATTCTACTGGATTATAATAGAGTTGTCGACCAAACCTATGTGAAGCTGGTCTGTAATTGGTCACCTAGTTAACATGAGAAAGTATGGATATGACGTTCAGGGACAACAGGACAGGGCACTAAAATAGAGTCCCGCCTGGCAAGTGGCAACGCTAGTCCCTTACTCTGACTCAATCCACAACACGGTACAATTGATTCTATAACACGGGTTCTTTCTTAATTTACGAGAACTGTTGATATATTCTTGTTTCCATTTTCCCTATCACAACTGTAGCAACTCATTTTCCTACTTAAAAGCACCAGCCTGTGTCACACAACATTAAAACAATACGAACTTCCTTGAGCTGTGATTTGGCACATGGCTTCCAAGACCTAACACGTAAAGCTTAGCACTTTTTTGATTGTGGAAGACTTAACTGTCGCAATTTAGCTCCGAAACAGCTCCCTACACCTGGCTGAGCAAAAACTTCCACTTCCACAGCGTCACTACGACCCTACTCCCATAAACAGTTTGTGCAGATTGCAGAGGTGAGAGGTGAAATCTTCCTGCCCGGCGGTATTTAGGGCACAACAAGATACTGGTATATTTATTTTTTAAATACCAAAGGAAATCCCGTCATAATTTTATAAAGTACTTTGGTTTCAACATCGTTGCATCGTTGTGACATCTGTGGCGTACAATACCAGAGGATAATTTTCAAGAATGCAGAGGAACAAACAGCGAAATAAAAAATAAACAAAAACATCTTGGTACATTGACTCGTACAACTTCGGTAAAACAGTCATGCATTCAAACTGGCTCCATAACGACCCTGAGTGTAGTGACGCAGTTTAGATTGCCAGTGGCTGCTCTTCATTTCTGGTGGTACATTATTTATTGTTCAGTCACCGTGACGTAAACTGTGCCTAACATTCACTGAAAGTGTTTCTGTTATGCACTTTTCCAACTAATAATCATACTGCACGACCAAGTTGTATTAATTCCATTTATTGTTGCTCGTATATTACCCTGGAGGCACGTCGTGACTCAATTTCTTGAGCTCATTTTTAAGGATATTATTTTTCCTCCATATATCACAATTCAGCGCTTGATTTTCTCCTTTAAATATTTTTTTCCTTTATTATTATAACTCCACTTTATCATGTGTGTATAGATTATCAGTAGAAAAATCCTAAACATAAGTTAAGAAAAGACCGAAGTGTAAATAGATATACCTGTACTGTACATCCAGGATGACAACTCAGGTTGGGGGTTAACAGTGCAGTAAGTTGTGAAAAAGCCCATTGATTAACGTAACTTAACCCTTCACTACAGTGTTTCAATTCACGAGTCCACCGACTTCATCCTGTGAGTACGATTGTCTTGACTCTTGACCTATTTCCTTGAGTACGATGACACCCAATTCATGGGATTGTTATCGTTCTTAAAGATTGGGCAAGCAAATTCTCCCTCAAATTGACATAAATTTTTGTATTGATAATTATAAATTCATGCAATACTGATAGTGTGATGTCCATTACACAACAAACCATTTTCTCCCGTTAGTAAGACGCACAGGGTTGGGTGCGTGTTGGCAAAAAAATATATATATGTAAAAAGTTATAAATAAAAAAAATAAAAATAAAACTTCATTCTCTCGGGGTTATTTGTTCAGGAAGCTAATTTGTAGACTTATATTCAATTTTACAGACGACGAAGGAAAACAATAAACTGTGTGTGTTCTATGCTTCATTAAAAAGCTCTACGTCAGTAACTTTACGTTCAAATTCATTTACTCTGAAATTCTGCTGAAGCATTAAGAGTGGTCATTAGTGAATTTGGATTTTGAATTTGGCCGTGGACAGCAGCTAGTTCATTGTGTACGCCATACTCACCATGTGAGTGGTAGCACAAAAAATGATAGTAGGGGTTCCAAAGGGTGTTTATCAGACCCAAGTGGTCATATTATGGCATTGAGTGTTAGAGTATTTTCCAGTACAATGTTTGGATCGGTTACTCGATCCAGAGTATATCAACTATCTTGCTATCAGAGATAAAGTGCTGTGCCATAGCATACACAGTGTGCTTGGATCTGTCCCTATTAGGTTCTATTTTTCACCGGTGCAGGCGGTGGTGAATGGGAGGGGAGGCAACTCGGAGGGATCACCATTCTTGACGATGTTCGAATCCTTTCAGGACAGCTGATGAGTCTCCCATCAGCTGTTAATTATTGTATAATTTTTCTTCTTTAAAAGCCTACTTTAACAATACACAAAATGTGGGGCATTATGCATGATATCAGATCAAATTGTAACGACCGAGTGGTGACCATCAATATTACTAATACATAGTTGACATATTTCTTTCTCCCTCTCTGTCATCGTCAAGATGATGTGGAAGATGCAGGTGGAGATGGCAGCAGGCTGTGCTACGCAGTATTGCAACAAGTGGTTGTTTGTGCCAGTACTTGGCCAGTATGTTTGTTTCTGCATGCCACCTCGCTCACCTACAGTATTACCGTCCACACACCACTATATCCCACTGTTTATCTTAAAATTATGAAAGCTAAGCTAAAACCAACCAAACAGAGTATCCATGGACAAGTTCTTAGTGAGTACTTCACTAAATATTAAAATCTATTACGATTTCATTAAACTATTTAGGTGAAGGTTAAGAGGGTAACCAACATTACTAAATTGTTTGGTTTAATGCACGGCGTGTTCAGAAGAAACAGGAAAACATGAATGAGAAATGATGGAAATATTGTTTTCATCTCAATGTGAAGCTGCGCGGTCCCATCAACAAAACTTCCCTCATGAGAATAGTCCTGTTCGGTGTGGTTTGTTGATGACGTATGTGGTCACTAAGTGAGTTTTGTCAGTATGGATGGTAAGCTTACTATGGATATTCGAAGCGTTATTTTCTTAAGTTTACATTCGCTGTCCACTCTATCTCTATCAAACTGTAACCTACAGTGACGAATGACGGGTTGACATTAACCACCCCATCCACCCCCACCCCCCCCAAAAAAAATAATAATAATTATATTATATATATATATATATATATATATATATATATATATATATATATATATATATATATATATATATATATATATATATATATATATATATATATATATATATATATAATTTGATGATTTTATGAACACCTTTGAACTATAACTAATGATAATGGGAAATGAATGTATTTAGTTACATTATGAAATCCATTATTGTTAACGATGATGACAAATCTATTACCATAACTGGAAGTGTGCATACTGTAGCATTAATCACATGCCTCTCCGTACAGTACTTTGTGTGTGTGTGTGTGTAATGCTAATTAAATGTATTATTTCTAAAAACTACAGGGTGTCCATAAATTTCCCGTTACCTTCCTATAACATCACCACCTCGACACACGATCAATGAGGGAAACAGCTAATGGCAGTATCTGTGGCTTATCACAACCTGACCAGACGGCATTTTGAGGGTGAGCGAACCGAGACGCGACTTGAGAATTAGTGGCCATGATGACATAATGGCCATGGTGACGGAGTGGCCATGATGACATAATGGCCATGATGACGGAGTGGCCACGATGACGTAGTGGCCACGATGACGGAGTGGCCATGATGACGTAGTGGCCACGATGACGTAGTGACCATGATGACGCAGTGACCATGTTGACAGCCACAGAAGAAAAGAAAAAAAAATTCCCACAAAGGAAAAAGAACAAGACGCAATAAACGCCAATAAACGAGGCTGCAATCTTACCGAAATTCACAGTTATAAGAGTTAAGGTCAAAGTTGTAATGGGTGCCAGTCTTACATTGGAATCCTTTTTTCTAGTGGGTGCAATGCCAGTGGTTGGGTTGGGTTACATTAGGTTAAATTGGAGCTTATTAGGTTAGGTTAAATTGGAGCTTGTTAGGTTAGGTTAAATTGGAGCTTGTTAGGTTAGGTTAAATTGGAGCCTGTAAAAAGTTGGGAGCCATTTGTCGTTGTACATAAGACTTACCGTGTCCCATGAAGAAGATGAAGCCGCAGATCATGAGGACAGGGTGGAAGTTGAACTCCTTCTTGGGTTCATCCTGCCAGCCGAATCCATCGCGGTAGTACACCACCCAGAAGAGGACCAAACTGAGCAGCCCGAACATGAGGATCTCCGCCAAGAACACCAAGCAGTAGAAGATCATGGACGACGAGGTGCTCATCTCCCCGCCGTAGCTATCGCGATGTGACCTCCTGTAAAAAACACCACACACACATTAACATCACAGGAGACATTGCTGGAGAAGTTGTCAAGGGAAAAAATAAATTGTTTTGGTTACATCCTCTTGGTTTGTATTAATAAAGTTACCTATTAATGAATTACTAAACTGGTATTGCTTAATGATTCAGGTATTGGTAGCTTAAAATGTATTGAGTCGTTTAAAATAGTGAGTTAATGGACACACATCAACTGTGCTTGAATTTTATTTCAGCCGTTATTTATACATACGACGTGTAGAGCTAAAGCAATAGAGAAATTCATAGTGTGTGTGTGTGTGTGTTTATATAGAAATAAATAAAATAAATACATAAATAAATAGTAAACTGGAAGGATTTGTCACTACGGCATCCAAGAGTTGAATGGTCGACTGTAAAGGATATATGCGGAGAAACAGCAGGGAAACATATTAATTTTTTTATGTGGTCAAGAATCTCCAAAAAGCAAAAGGTGAGAACAATACCTTGAAAAACAATAAAAAAAACAGAGGGCAAAAGCTGGAAAAACTACAGTACTCAAGTCCAATGTCAACATCAGACTTGGAGACCATAGGTAAACATAAGAAGCAGGTAAAAATTATTAAATTATTTAATAATAATCCGTAGAGTAGGACAGTGTTCGGAATCCGGCCCTGATAAAACGGGTTAATGGTGAACGAAATTAAGCACAGAAAGAATTAAACTGCAGCATGTGTCACCCTGAGAAGTGTTTATCTTATAAAGTGAGAATGTAATTGCTGTAACATTATGTCTAATTCAATCAGTACTGAGCTTGAAGCAACATAGCACAATGCTTCATACAGATAATTTTGGTCAAAACATTTTAAGTACCAAATAGATTGTCAAGATAAACCAGAAATTAACCAAAAACCATGGATGAAATGATAAGGAATCTACCTCTGCCACACATTGGGTACAGCAGTTATGTGAAAGTTCTGCTTTTATGAGACATGCAACAACTGTGCTGGAAATACGAGAGCATAATACACAGTGCCGTGGAGCAGCAGCTGGCCGAGTGATGTGGAGATGTGAGCATCACGGGGCCCACCATCATCCGGGGTTAACCACACCACCGCAGTGTCCTCGCTGACCCATCCTGCGGCTCACCCCATGCCCTGTGTACACGTTCCCCTCCCCCCAATCCCCAAGGTTCGTCTTGGCTGCACCGCCACCATGCAGGTGAACCTGATGGGTCAGACGCGCCACTAGGGTCACTGCTCCCGCCATAACTTTTTATTTTTTATTTTTTCAAAGAGCTCTTCAACAAATAAAACATTAAGCCAATTGTAAGGAGTTTTCATATATATATATATATATATATATATATATATATATATATATATATATATATATATATATATATATATATATATATATATATATATATATATATATATATATATATATATATATATATATGCTGATAAACACAAGGAAAGAAGAAAACACGAAGTTCCCAAGGGTGTATATATACACCTTGTCTTGTACTCCTCTTTAGTCTGTACTCACCCCTGAAGATGTGAATTACACGAAAGCGCTTGGGAACTTCGTGTTTTCTTCTTTCCTTGTATATATATATATATATATATATATATATATATATATATATATATATATATATATATATATATATATATATATATATATATATATATATATATATATATATATATATATATAGTGTGTGTGTGTGTGTGTGAAAACATACGAATCGAATAAAATAAATCAATGTTGTCTAGAGTGTGTGAAGGGTCAAGGTCACTGGTCAAGGCTACAGAGATTATTCGATCATTCTGGAGCTAAAACATTCACCCAGATTATGATGAAATTTGCCAGTTAGTTTTTGCCATATAATCTTACCTATTCATACGTTCAGCGTCAGATTTTAGTGGATTTTTTTTTAGGTTAGGTTAGATTTAGGTTACAGTACTGGCTAGGAAGGTCAATTTGGGAAACAGTCGGTGAAAGGTGTGTGTGTGTCAAGGATGTACCCAGGTCGAGAGTGTGAAAGTATTACTCGAAATGATGTCTCCCAGAAACAATAACGACTACAGTGATGTATTTTTTTTTACTTCCGCTAAAAGGCACAGTTGTCGTGACTAGCATAACCCCGCAGCTTGAGAAGGTGATGGTGAAATTCTCGTAAAAACCAAAAATCGACTCCGTGAACGAATGAGGACTGGAGGTTGGTTAAGAGTACAAGTGAGTGAGTGTACAGACGCTGTACACCCATGTGACAACTGTGAATGTTGTGGTGTGTCCTCGTGTGAACGCGGATAAAAATAATGTGTGTATGGTGGTGTGACCCTCGTGTGCACCCCGACTAGTGTTTATCTGGGAGACTTGATCCTCACAACAACAACACCTACAAGGAATGCCAAAACGACTAGCCGCCTTGTCGTCCTCTAAATCAGTTTAATAATAGTCCCAGGAATTATCCGTTGCTAATGGGACCCGGTACAACGAGGCTGTTGGGTAATTAGCAGTTAATAATCCGTGCAGTGCGTGAGGGTGCGTGGTGCAAGGCTCCCACAGAGGCGCCTTTATGAGATAATTAGCTTGAGTTGGTGGTGGTGATGCCTCTGTGAGATAGCTAGTCTGGGTCACACTCCTACCATCACCGGCTTTATTACAATCATCAGAACAAGAAGATTAATTAAGCTTAAGGGTTGTTACTGCATCTTGATTTTAAAAACTTTGCACAGTGAATATTTTATTTTATGCTCTGGTATACCATTGGTAATAAAGCTCTGCTCTTCTACAGCATTTCATTTGCTTAAAATTTTGCATACTGTATACATATTTTATTATCTACTTAACAGATATTAAAGAGAATGTAACAGGAGTATTAAGACAGTGAAGACGCCGCCAGGTGGGTCAAACACAACCTCCACTAGATCCTATGGTCCTACACAACATTTTTCCTGATGGCAAGAATTCGAGGGGCAACCACAACATTCACGATGATAACTTTACGCCCGTGTACGCCTCATCTCCCATCTAGTGAACACACACACACACACACACACTTATGCAATGGCGCCCTAGTTGTCAAAGGCATCATACACTCGTCACCACGTGTGTTGTGATGTGATTGACTCTATCCTGGGTCAAAGCCACGACAAACACGTGTTGATATTTTTAATAAAATGCAGATGGTATTTTCTTTATCTTACTGTATGATATTACTTTTCCAGCAGCCAAGAAACTAGTGGTAACTACGCGACACTTGGAGAGGTCCTCTGCCTCATGCCTCGCCATACACACTTCAAATTAATGGTCATACTTGGGTCAGACACAATCCACTGTCTGTAGTTCTTTGGATCTACTTACAGGGTACTGTGTCACCTTTACATAATGTTGAGTAAAGGGTTTAACTGCGTATAAATATTTACATTAAAGCATAAAGGTGGAGAGAGTGAGGGAGTACTGAGGGACAGGGCCTCCAGTACGTCACTGAGGTGGGAGCCGCCACTACACTTACCCTCTAACTTGTGTTTTAATGACTATTCTCATACTGTATTCGGTACCGAGTGATACAATGAATTCAAAACTTGTGAAATAAAACTTCATCACTTATGACATTGGGTGAGAGAGGTGACCCGAGTACATCACCAAGTGAGCCTGGCTGGTGAGTTGTCATGCGTACTATGGTAGCTACTGTAGTCTGATTACTTCCACTACCAGCATTAACAGTGTCACGATCCGAGAACTCGATCGCGTTGGTGGGCCGGAGGTCGCTTCCTGTGCGGCCCCGTCAGTGTGGTGGTCCCTGGGCCGCCTCGTGTTGCATCAAGGGTGGGCGTCTCGATGATGGCAAGCATGTAACTGTTGTGTGTCGGTGTCCGACTCTTACACTGTGATGTAACTGTTGGATACGGGATATGAAGAGCAGAAAAGTGACTGTTGTAACCGCTTAACTGGGTAATGACTTTAGATGTATGGGCGAAGTGCTGCTAAACGTAGCAATATTTCTTACTTCACTTTTATATCGCACCACTATAATATACTAACCGGTCACACGCGATATTGTCACATATTGTAACATAAGTGACACTGACGTAAACAAGTATACATCAAACAGCGTCACGCTACCATCACACCCTCACTGCTAGTCACGAAGTCGTCACAGCGTGGCAGCGTCACATTTACCACAGCCACAAACCCCAACACCAAGATGCGGGAGCAGTGTCCGCTGTGGTGACGTCACTGTGTACACACCATCTTGAGATCTTTTGTTCATCAAACCCTGAGACTGTGGGACCACGACGCAGCCACCAACACGGACCATCTGACCAGACACACCTCTGTCAGGGATAAATCTTTTGTTTAGAACAGATTATTCGTACCCTTCACAAAGCACTTTCACGATACTCATCAGTCGATGCAATATAAGCGTGGCGTAGGTTAGGTTAGGTTAGGAATAAGGAGAGTCTCTTTGGTATGTGGACACCCTCAGTCTCACAGTACAGTACAGGTAATATAATAAGCCACAGGTAAGGCTGCAGTAGGTTTACACAGACTTCTTCCTTCTGTGATTTTATAATCTTTCTTTGAAAATATACAGTCTGTGTGTATTCGAGTGACACTGAAATATAAGTATAGAAAGTGTAAGGTGTTTACTGTGTGCCATCAAGTGATTCTTCACACTTTAAGACATCATGGCGCCGCTCTCTCTCCTTGCAGCTCCGACAGACACTCACCTCCCCCATTTGTTCATTCATTCAGCAATTTCTCAGTTTTATGTCCTGGTTGTCTCACCATAAAGACTCACAACCACAAGTGGATGCCACATATGGAAACAAGTCTTCCATATTTTGATTATAATAAATCAGAACATTCAAGGACTTCCACACCTACCGATGCTGTGCTGTGTGAGGGGTACCAAGAGCCACGCTGTCAGGCATATGTTGAGATAAGAAAATGATGTGGACGACGAGGCTGCAGGATCGGAGGTAAGAGTGGGTGGCTGAGGG